ACAGACTGAGGCATCAGCAAATGCCTATAGCTGGCCTTGCTCCAGGCACTGCAGGTTAATGCTGCCACTAGCACTAACTGCAGAGTGGCTTGTCCCAGTGACCCCCATCTCCAATTTACCCTCTATCCCTCACTACGGATATAGTCCCATGGACCCCGGGTGGGTTTCCTTTGCAGCTCCCTCTTTACCCTGCCTGCATGAGGGTACAATGTCCTGGTAATGGGTGTCTCTCTGAGAGGGGCTGGTGCCAAACTGAGTGCTGTCTGTCTATACCCTGTCTGGCAGCTGCTGGAAATCCAGGCCCAGTACCACCGGCAGTCACTGGAATCTCTGGATACAGCTCTGGCAGAGCTAAGGGAAAGCCACAGACAGTCAGGTACCTGCTGGCTCTCCACGCAGCCCAGGGAGGGCTGCAGCCGAGCCTGGGGGATATAAGTGTGGCCAGCAAGACTGGAAAAGGCCCATTTTCCCTCCCTAACATCTGCTGCTCTCTCCCATGTTTGGCTGGTGGGTTGGGACCGCAGCCTTAGGTGAGCTGGGGATGCTGCCTAACCTGTCTCTGCCTCTAGCCAGCTAACTTTGGATTGGAGTGAGATGTTGCCATGGCCAGATGCTGGATGGCCCCAGTGGCCACCATCCCTCTCGACATTCTCCTCCCTTTTCCAGAACCCTCCTTCAATGCAGACACGCCAGTGGCAGGGTACTATGGTGTGTCCCTAGAGACCCACCTCAAGAGCTTAGGCCGGGAGATCGCACTGCCCATTGAAGCCTGTGTCATGATGCTGCTAGCCTCCGGCATGAGGGAAGAGGTAGGGAGTGCTCCAGACCCCCTCACCACCTTTCCCCCGAAAAGGCACCCCTCTCAAACTCGAAGTGCATCCCTTCCCTCTTTGCCCCATCCTAGGGTCTCTTCCGGCTGGCAGCGGGCGCGTCAGTGCTGAGGAAGCTGAAGAGCAGCTTGGCCAGTGGCTCCAATGCCCTGGAGGAGTTTTACTCAGATCCCCACGCTGTGGCTGGTGGGTGCCAGTGAGGCAGGGTGGGGGGACATCACTGGGCAGTCCTTGCCATCCCCCACCTTCCATCAGCCCCCCTGCTCCCACTCCCCTCCCAGGCGCACTGAAATCCTACCTGCGGGAGCTGCCCCAGCCTTTGATGACCTTTGAGCTCTATGACGAATGGGTCAAAGCGGCCAGGTGAGTCCAGACGTTGGGGTGGAAATGCCTGGCTGGTCTCAAAAAGGCCCCAATCAACCCCCTCCATCCTTTCCAGCACTTGAAGCAGGGCTGCTCAGCCTCATTTGCCATGTCAGGGGTATAAAAACGCAGCTCCTCCATGGATGCCTACCTTAGCTGCTCAATAAAAGCAGGACATCTCCATCCCCAGGGCTATGGCCTACATGGGGTGGCCAGCACTGGCCTTCCTCCTTGCCCACCATGTCCCCCTCTGCCATAGGGAGCAGGCTGAGCTCTCCATTCCTCCTTCTTCTCTCTTGCAGCTTAAAGGACATTGACAGCCGTGTACAGAGCCTGCGAGACACCTGCAGCCGCCTGCCCCAAGAGAGCTACAACAATCTGAGGTGTTTTGCTGGAGCAGGGCTTCTTCAGCCCTGCAAGGTAGTGGCCATTTCTTCCCCAAATCCATGCCTACTATACCTTCACCCTCCTTTCACCCCGCAGGTATCTGATCAAGTTTTTAGCCAAGCTGGCTGAACACCAGGAGGTGAATAAAATGACCCCCAGCAACATCGCCATTGTGCTGGGCCCAAACCTGCTGTGGTCGCAGCAGAGCACAGGGTAAGGTCCAGCTTGGAGGGATGGGATGCAGTTTCCCAGCCCCAGCTCGGGTGCCTTGAACACAAATGCCATGGGAAAGGCCAATCCAGCAGCCTTCAGGCTGTTTTGAAGCACCTGCACCTCTTCCATTCTCAAGTCCTGTGTTTGTTCCCAAGTGGCATGTCCCTTGTGTCCTCTTAGCCACTCTGCAAAGCAGCAGAGGAAAGGTCTGAGACCTGAAGCACTTGTGACATGGATGGCTTTCAACACCATTCGCCTCCAACACCAAACCAGGGTTCTCAGGACAGGGAACAAGGCCCATCTCCCACCCTGCCATTCCCCTCGGCTGGGCTGGCTTCCCTTCAGGCTCTGGCCCCTCAGGAATGAACACCAAAAGCCATTTGGGATTAATGCCCCCCAAACCCCTTTTCTGATGCCTACGCCATTCCTGTCTCTCAGAGACCCCATGCAGTTGGACTTGGCCTCGGTCTCCTCCATCCAGGGTGTGGTGGAAGCCCTCATCCAGAACGTGGACACCCTCTTCCCCGGAGGTAGGGCTAAGGCACCACTTGGTGGGCCACAGCACATGGTGAAGGGGAGAGGAAGGGAAAGGGACATTTCTCCATCCCCAGAAGGAGGGATTTAGGGGCCTTCTCTGACTCCCTGCCATGGGGTCATTGCTCTGGGCCACAAGTTCTTACTCACAGGGTCTCCTCCCTTCTCTCCACCCAGAGGTAGATTTTAATGTCTCGGGATTGTTCACACTGCCTGCAAATAGTGGACTTAGCAAGGCTGCCCCAGTGGAGGAGCTGACCCCTGAGCTCCCTCCAGCCAGCGCTCCCACCCTTCCGGAGGGAGAGACGTAAGTCTGCTGGGAACTAGGGGCTCTGGCTGTCCCACCTCTCCCTATGTTCTCCTCCCATCTCACCATGGGATGGCCAGGGGCCATAGCCTCGCAGGTGGATGCCTGGCCTCGAGGCCAGGACCACCATGCCCAGCCAAAGCCTGACTTGCCTTGTTTTCTGCGCAGGACATCGAGGGACCCCGAGGCCAAGTCCCAGCTGGTATCCCCAGCACTGACCAAACCATCTCCTGAAGTTGCAGGGCCAGCAGCTCCAACAATGACTGACGATACCAGCCGCAAAGGTAAGGGTGCCCCAGATGGCACAGTGCTTGGGAAATGACACCTCTGAATGCCACCTCCTGTAGTTTAGCCTTCATCCTGCTGTTCCCTGCAAAAAAGGCCACTGAGAATGTCCCTGTCACCAAATGAGAGGTAAGGCCTCTGGCCAGGGTAGCATGGCCAAGATCCAGCTGAGATGGGACCATGGGATGTCCTCCAGTGTTGGGTTGAACATCCCCTGTAAGGAGGTGTAAAAACTCCTGGCCCTTTGTGAGGGGAAAAGGGAAAACCCCCCAAAAGCTGTTGTGCACTTGAGTCTCCAGTACGGGAGCTGGGCAACGGGCAGTTTGTCCATCTGTCTGCCTGCAGCCCCCCTGCCTGACCCATGGCTGGCACCACAGCCCCCTCTGCCCTGTGGAGACACACTAGAGGAGGGTACCCCAGCCCAGCCCAGCTTTCTTTTCAGGCAAGCGCCCGGCTCCAGCCCGACCCACGATGCTGCCACCTCCTGTGGCCCAGTCCCGGAGCACAGCTCCTGCCCCGGCAGCCAGCCCCAAAGCCCTGCCGCGACGGATGGCACCCAGCCGAGCCCCCTCTGTCCCGCCACCACTCCCGCCACAGCCAGCACCCCGTCACAGCCGAGATGTCCCGCTGTCCCCCAAGCCTTCCACTGGTGAGGCTGACACAAGGGCTGCCATGGACTGTGTCCCAGGAACCACAGATGAAGAGCAGCCTCTGCCTGCAGGAGAAAGCAGCCCCTTGGCCATATTGGCCCCAGGAGGACAGCCCACAGAGAACTGAGCAGGGTGTGGGGGAATCAGAGGCTGGGGAGACGGGGTCTGGCATCCCTCTGGGAACCCAGCAGGTGCTGTGGAAACACCAGGGTGGTGGCCTGAGGGACTCCTGCGCCTCCACCTTGCTCCCTCAGCTTACACCACCTGGCACGCTCCGCCTGCCTCCCCTTGCTCTCCTGCCTTCACCTTCCCCCACCACCACATCCCTGCCAGGGCCCGGCCACCAGTGAGGGCCCAGCTCCCTGCCCAGCTCCCCCACCGCAGGCCCAGGCACTGCCTGCAGCTTTCGGGCCAGCGTGGGCAGCTTGGCCTGGCAGGGTCATTTGTGGATGCTCAGCCATGACCCCAGCCCCATTTTGCCTTAAAATGCATTGCCCCAAGAACATACAGACAAATATATATAAATACAAATAGATATGTATATATATATGTATATCTGGAGCGCATGTCCTGTGAGGAGCAGCTGAGCGAGCTGGGGGTGTTTAGCCTGGAGGAGGCTCACGGTGGCCTTACCGCTCTCTACAACTGCCTGATAGGAGATTGTAAACAGGTGGGTGTTGGCCTCTTCTCCCAGGCAACCAGAGACAGGGGGAGAGGTCATTAGGAGGAATTTCTTCCCTGAAAGGGTGATCAGACATTGCAACGGGCTGCCCAGGGAGGTGGTGGAGTCACCGTCCCCAGAGGTGTTTAGGGAAAGACTCAATGCAGCACTCAGTGCCGTGGTCTAGTTGACGTGGTGGTGTTCGGTCATCGGTTGAACTCGACGATCTCGGATGTCTTTTCCAACTTAACTGATTCTGTGTTGGTTTGCCACTATTTGAGGAGCTGGTGTCAAATTCGCAGGCAGGTGTGAGCAGGGCGCACTTGGCCTCCTGAAGTGCTGGAGGCCGCAGCCCTCGCGGCCGCAGCGGGAAGAAGGTAAGGGGGACACGGCCGAGCCCCGGGCCGGGAGGGCGGGGGGGGTCGGCCGCTGCCCACACCCAGCAGAGACAAGCGGCCGGGCCCTAATGGCGATCGCCCCGCCGGCCAGCAGGGGGCACTGTGCCGCCGCGTGCCCCCGCGGGGGGCAGTGGCCGGGGAGGCGCCTCCAGCCAATGGGCAGCGCGCCCGTCCCCGGCCCCGCCTCCTCCGCGTATCGTCACTTTGGGCGCCGGCCCTCGGCCCCGCCCCGCGCTCTGGAGGCCGTCAGGGTCTCCCATTGGCGACGACGCGCGGGCGGTGGGCGGTGATTGGCGGCGCGGCGGGGCGGGGCGGGCGGGGCGCGGCTGTTGGCGGCGCGGCGGGGCGGGCAGAGGGCGGTGTCGCGGCGGGGCGGGCGGAGGGCGGCGGCGGCAGCGGCAGCATGGCGAGCTGCCGGCGGCTGAGCGGCGCGGGGCTGCGCGAGGTGCTGGGCCCGGCCCAGGGGCTGCTCTTCGACTGCGACGGCGTCCTGTGGGCGGGCGAGCGCGCCGTGCCCGGCGCCCCCGAGCTGCTGGAGCGCCTGCGGCGCAGCGGCAAGGCCGCCCTGTTTGTCAGCAACAACAGCCGCCGCTCGGTGGCCGAGCTGGAGCGGCGCTTCAGCCGCCTCGGCTTCCGCGGCGTGCGCGCCGAGCACGTCTTCAGCTCCGCGCTCTGCTCCGCGCTCTTCCTCCGCCAGCGCCTCCTGGGCGGCGGCGGGAACGGCAGCGGGGCCGGGCGCGTCTTCGTGCTGGGCGGCGAGGGGCTGCGCGGCGAGGTGCGCGACGCGGGGCTGCGCCTGGCGGGCGAGGGCGAACCGGCACCCGGCGAGCCGGTGCGCGCCGTCCTGGTGGGCTACGACGACCAGTTCACCTTCGCCAAGCTGGCACAGGCCTGCAGCTACCTGCGCGACCCGCAGTGCCTGCTGGTGGCCACCGACCCCGACCCCTGGCACCCGCTCAGCGACGGCCAGCGCACCCCTGGTGAGCCCGCGCCCCGTCCCGCGCTGCCCCCGGGGGGAAGGGGCTGGTGGCGGGGGTCTCCTGGGGTGGGGTTCGCTGTCCCAGGCCCCGGGCGAGGCAGGTCCCTGAGCGCCAGGACGGGCAGGGCTGCCCTGGCGCGTCCCTGCCGGCTCCCGGAGCCGTGCTGCCAGCGCCTCGCTTGCCTGTCCTCGGGCAGGACCCAGCGCGCTGAGCTGCCCGCGGCTACTTCTTTTTCTCCTCCTTCCCCCCCCGCAGGGACTGGCAGCCTCACAGCCGCGGTGGAAACTGCTTCGGGCCGCAAGGCGCTGGTGGTGGGGAAGCCCAACACGTACATGTTCGATTGCATTGTGGAGCGTTTCGGCGTCGACCCGTCCCGCACCCTCATGGTGGGAGACCGTCTGGAGACAGATATCCTCTTCGGCAAGAACTGCGGGCTTGCCACCATTCTCACCCTGACAGGTGTTTCCCGCCTGGAAGAGGCGCAGGCCTACATGGCCAGCGACAGCGCCGCTGCCAAGGATCTGGTGCCCAATTACTATGTGGACAGTATTGCAGACTTGATACCAGGCCTGGATGAGTAGCAGTCTGTATGTGTGAGGGCAGAGGGATCAGGTTCCCCATCCCAGATCTCCATCTGTTCCTACTTCTCTCTCACTGCCCTATTCCCTCAATTCTGGGTTTCTTCACATTCCAGCATCCTTCTTTGGGGGCAGATGGGAGCAGGGTTGGCAGGAGGAGACAGGCTTTGAGTTGCCTCCTTTCTGCTGAGAGCTATCCATGATGGACAGAGTCCTCTTCTCCTTCGTTGCCAGCTACCAGCATCACTGAGAGAGATCTGGAGGTCTTGAGGCTGACAGGGGGGTCAAATCAGTGTGCCTGTGTGGCCTCTCCCCCTGCAGGAGTTAGGGACTGGCTGTCTTAGTATTATCTTTCCCTTATCTTAGTATTATTTTTCCCTTGGATAACCAGTGTTGGCCTTTCACTGCTGTCCTATGGCTCATAACTCTTGACTTCTGAGCTGCATCCCTGCGGTCCTTTTGGTAACCTTGCCGGGGGGGGGGTTATCACCCACCTGGTCTCCATCAGTGCTAGGGCATGTGGAAGGAGTGTGCCAGAGCTTTGGAGCGATGAACAAGAGCATCTCTGCCTCCCACAAGTGAAAGAGAGCATTGCCTTATCTCTTTTCTCCCCCCATTCCTTAGAGATGTTTCCCCCACTACTGCCCTGACGCAACTCGGTTAATAACTGTGCCAGTGTCTATCTGAAGGACGGAAGAGACTGGTTTGAGGGGTTTTTGTGCCAAACAGACAAGCTGTGACTGCGCACAGTGGGTCTGCGTTTGTACCTTGTTTTCAAGTACCCTTTCTGAAGGGGCTTGTGAAGGAGAGAGGGCTCCTAGATCATGACAGCACAGTACTAGTGAACTGTATGACTCCCTAGTTCCCCCTCCTCAGTTGGATTTTTTCATAGTACAGTGAGAGAAAAGGGCTGATGGGGGTCCATGCCCCAGCTGCTGGTGTGCAGGTGAGATGGTGATGGTGTTGTCACTGCTGTGAATGTGTCACAGTCCTCAAAATCATTCCTTGCTGCTTTGTCTTTCTACGTTTTTTTAATTTCTTGATTTAATTTATTCAAACTTATTTATTGTTCAAATATTGTATTATTTGTATAAAGTATGCTGATTGGTTGCACCAAGGGGACAGGAGGCAGTGCCTTTGGGCCTCCCATACTGTCCATGTCCCATGTTGATGTTCTTACACTCACCGTGTCTCTGTATATAATAAAGTGTGAGCGTAGGCTGGAAATGGCCTTCTTTTTTTGCGTGTGGTCCCACGAAGATGAAACTGCCCTAGGTATCTTTGAGCCCTCAAAAATGAGGAGGCGGCAAGACCTTTCCTCACTCAAGGGGGTGCTGCTGGGTAGACAAGACAAGTCGCTAGTGTCTTGTGGAGAGTTTGAGCTGTTTGCTGCTGTCTCACTGGTGTCTCAGAACCAGGGTCAAAGGTGGAGGTGGCTGGTGGGGCTATGGCATAGGGCAAGAGGTGAATTGGAGCAGGGAGCGATATGATCCTGCCTTTGCATTTCACAGCGTGGGTGATTCATGGAGAACAGTGACTTCTTGTGCTGCGCCTGAAGGCTACCCACTGCTAGCCAGGGGGATCCCAAGTGGATGATCTGTGTGGTCCTACCCAACAGTGTCTGGCTCTGCTAGGGTAGAGGTGAGATGCCATCTCTATCACTTGCATATAGCTTGCAGGGGGATGAGAGCTACCCAGGGAAGGTTTTGCTGTGACCTTTCCCGACTACACTAAGCTTTAAGTGACGGGGAGGTGGCTGTCACCCTACCTCTGGAGTGACCTTCACCAGACTATAACTTGCCATGCCCTGCATCCTCTCCCTGGGTTTGGCTGTGGTCCCAGACTGGAGGGGCAAAACAGATTGGGTAAGAAGAGCTGGAAATCACTCAAATGTACTTTGCCTCCCTTCCTCATACCGGAGCCAAATCCTCCCCTTTGTCAGCCCCCTTTAACTGCTATTAATGGTAACCAAGCACCACATCTCTCACTGGAGAGATCAGCTGTTCAGCTCAATAACCGTTCTCAGTGTAAGTTAGTGCGGTGTCAGCTCACGTGATAGAACTGGTTGCAACTTATTGTCTCTAGGATAATTCCAGGTGCTGAGTACTTTTTTTGCTTTTTTTCCCCTCTCCAAAATAACTCAGGAAACAGCCTTCCAAAATAAAAGAAAATCCAAAGAGCTTTCTGAAGACTGCCTGTCATCTTAATCAGTCCCCTTTGTATATGCCCATTTCTCTCTTTTGTCCCGTGTCCAATTAGACTGCCAGAGAACTGGAACTCCATTAGTGAGCACTTGACCAACATTCGCATCATCAAGCAGAGCGAGATCGATGTGTCTGCTAACTTGGGTTGCCAATCTAGAGATACCCACTTATTTTTCAGAGCTCTCATTCTTGTATTAGGCTGAAATTCGAAGTGCTGTTGTGACGTAGGGCCACAGCTGGGAATGCTCAGCACACTGGTAAACTGAGGGAATTCAGTAGCTAGTCAGAGTTTGGGCCCTCTCCAAAGAAACTTTGGCGTTCGTCCTTTGGATCCCAAATGGTGAGACTGCAGTGTAGGTTTTCTTTTTCCTGTGACTGAAAACAGAGCTCAGCAGAGGTGATGGCTGATCCTTGTCTCTTGTGACCACGTAGCTTCTTTTCATCTGGTGCAGCTCTCCATGAGGACTTTGCTATGAAGCAGAGGTGGACTTGGAGCAGAAGGGGAATAGTTTTACCTGTCCTTCCCTTGGTTCTTCACATGGGTGAGGGCACCAGGCAGGGGTGACCTCTGTCCTGTAAATGTCCACAGGGCTGCTCCTGCTTTGAATGGGAATGGAGCAGCTCTGTAGGGGTCCATCAGGTCTGCTAGGCTTTGTTTTTGCGTAGCTTCCCCCTGCTGCTACTGCTCCTGCATGTAATGAACGTGAGTGTGAGCAGATCTTATTAGAAAACTAGACTGGAAGGGCCCCTGAGGTACGATGAGTTCTCCATCCAAACCTGTCAGACATCCATTCAACCACTGTCAATAAGGGGTCTATGATCTTCATGGGGGGTCAGGCCTTGGTTCTCTCTGGGTTAGGCCTGGTGAGGCTGCAGAGAACATCTGCTGTTGAAACTGAAAAAAGTGATGGCTCCTGCCTGGGTAGGCTGATTGCTTCTTGTCTAATGCAGTTTTTCTTCTTGGGCTGTGTGTTTAAGGAAGCAGTGCAGTTGCCAGGGAGCACAGGGCTCTGAAGAGTAGAGCTGTGGCAGCACATGGGAGGGTGGAGCGGATGGGAAGGCCAGCTAGGTGTAGTGTAGGGAAGGGTATTTATTTTCTCATCTTCAGAAAACTGCATAGTCCTTTCCTGCCGTGCAACAGAGACAACACCCAGGTGGGTGGCAGTCGTTCCGTTACCCCAGGAATCTCCTATCCTTCATCCATAAGTGCAGTTACTGTGGCAACCGCTGGCTGGATGATGTAAGCAGTAACCTGCTGAGCATCGCCTGCTCTGGGCAAGGCTTCAGTCTCTTAGTCATCTTCATGCCCCTTCCCTGGACTCTCTCTCCAGTATGTCCATGACTCTCTTGTACTGGGGAGCCCAGAACTGGACCCAGCACTCCAGGTGTGGCCTCACCAGTGCTGAGTAGAGGGGAAGGATCACCTCCCTTGATCTGCTGGAAACATTCCTCCTAATGCAGCCCAGGATACTGCTAATGTTCTTTGCTGCAAGGGCACATTGCTGGTTCGTGTTCAACCTGGTGTCCAACAGGACCCCAGGTCCTTTTCTGTCATGCTTCTTTCCAGCCAGGTGGTCCCCAGTATTTACTGGTGCCTGGAGTTATTCCTTCCCAGGTGCAGGACTTTGCATGTCTCCTTACTGAACTTCTTGAGGTTCTTGCCAGCCCATTTCTCCAGCCTGTCAAGGATCCTCTAGATGGGAGCACAACCCTTTGGTGTATCAGCTGCTCCTCCCAGTTTTGTGTCACCAGCAAACTTGCTGAGGGTACACTCTGCCTCATCATCCAATTCATTAATGAAGATGCTAAACAGACTCAGACCCAGTATTGACCCCTGGGAGACACCCCTAATTACTGGCCTCCAGCTAGACTTTATGCCACTGATCAGCATCCCCTGGGCCTAGCTGTTCACACAGTTTTCAGTCCACTTCACTGTTTCCTCATCCAGCCCACACTTCCATTTTCTTCTCTGGCAGGATTATAAGGGAGACAACACCAAAGGCCTTACTGAAGTCAGCGTAGATGTCCACTGCTCTCCTCTCATCAACCAAGCCAGCCATTTCATCACAGAAGGTTATCAAGTTGGTCAAACAACTGGCACTTCAGGAAGTCAACAAATGGGCCCAAAGATATTAATCGATGAGTAGATGCCTTTAATATGAGGAAATAGTGATCATCCTGACTGGGAAGCTGGAAGTAATAGAACTGGGAGGATCTGGAAGGTGTTGGGACTGGCAGGACAGAGAAGGATTTTTTTGCATGGGAAAGTGCCTCCAGAGCCAAGAAAGGATCATGATCCTAGGAACTCACTCGATACTTGCCCAACCTGATGTGAGAGTCCCTGTTTGCCAAGGCAGGCAGCCCTGGCGCCACCCTGTCCCGCAGCAGCTGGAGCAGGGAGGAGGAGGAGGAGAAGGCGAGGAACACCAGCCTGTTACTGCCTGCCCAGGGGAAGCAGCCAGCATTTGCTCTTCCTCCAGCAGCAGTGTGGGTAGAAGTCCCTCCTCTGCAGCACAGTTTCCCACTCCTTACTCAAGGCATTGTCCCATCCACCCCATAACATGGGCTTTACCATCCCTCTATCCTTATCTGTTTTTTATCTTCCTTACTGCTGCCTCATTTGCTCTATGAACTCTGACCCCAGCAAACTCACCAGGCAGCCCAGGAGAGTTACATGGCTATGCACATCTAGGAACTGCTGCTGTGTGGTTGGACTCTGCCTGGGAATTGTGTTGGATAATGTATTGGAAGTGCCCCTGGCAGACAGCTGTTTTGGTGCTCCTTATAATCCCTGGGAGATACTGAACAGCTGAACTTGCTGAGAGCAATTTAATAGTTGGTGGAGTTCTTAATGGTTTTTGAGTTATACTGGGTTTTGTAGCCTCAGTATACCATCACTGGGCTGATGCAAAGCACTGTCAGCTCTGTAAGCCTCCAGCATGGAGACAAGGGCGATGTGATGCCAGGAACATTCCCAGATCACAGAGCAGCTGCCTGTGATGATCCAGGTTGTTCTGCCCCGTGATTTAGCCTGCTAGATGTGCAGCTCCAGCAACTAGCAGTTTCCAGTCTGTATAGGATATTGCTGAGCACTGAGATGCTCTCTTCACGTGTTAGGGGTGAGAGAAACCTGTCTTTTAAATGGACATGGTTGTCCATCAGGTCACCCAAAGCCCTTTGCCAGCCCTTGCTGAACCTCTACCCTGGTTCCCACAGAAGCTGCACAGAAAGTGGTACCTGGATAAAATTCAGAGCATGAATTGCTTCCACCTGTTTCAAGCAGCCTGAAACAACTCAGATACAGTTTTCTGTTTCCTTCAGGTGTACTTTGCTGTTGTACTACAGCTGCCTGTAATTTATTCCTGTGGCATGGAAGCCAGAGGAAATTGAGACTGTGGGCTGCAGATGAGAGATTTCCCACCTGCCAGGACAGCTTGATTGTGGCCCTGGCAAGGTGCCCTTTCTTCATGAAACAGAGGTGTTCCTGACTTGCTGTCCTTCTCTGGCCTAATGCTTGGAGACTGCTGATTGAGCTAACTTTGGGCAGAGCCTAGGAGCGTAGGAGTGGCACAGAGCAGTGGCCACTTGCCAAGTTTGAGGGTGGAGGTGTGAAGGCTGGCAGTATGGTGCTGTTCAGCACTTCAGTATGACTAGAGGACCATGTGCCTGCCACAGCCTTGGTAACCTGGAGATTGACATGTCTCGTGAGACACGGTGGCCATACTCCTTCAGTGGAGAGTGTAGGCTGTGCTTAGGTTGAACTTCACGATGTTCACTGCCTTGCAATCCGCCACAGTTTCATTAGTTACCTTCCCACAACAATTTCAGGGGTGAAAGGGCCTATGTCATTGAGCAATCCACAATGTGTTTGACTCCTGCTTGGCCACAAGCAGCTCTGAATGCCCTTGAGCCAGTGTTGCTGGAAATCTACCTGTTGGTGCAGGTTTTTTCTTGTTATGTGTTTGGGCAGCGTGATATTAAGGATTCTTAGGAGAACTCTCTACAGGCATACTCTTCCTCTTGG